ATTGTTAATAAAAACAAGAGCACTTATCGGAAAAATATTTCGCTCAACTCTTCTCAATAATCGTAATTTCTTTTCAATGTATTACTTCATTTTATTTATTTATTTTATTATTTAATCAATTCAATCTTATAACAATAGCTAATGCTTTATCTAATACAATTATGATACAAAATGGTTTTCAATGCAATTATCAATATATGACCTGAAAATACAGCATAAAACAAAATGTGAATACTTCGCAGAGGATTTTAATAGCATTTGTCAGTGTTTTAAAATTACGTAAAAGGTTCTGTATGTTATAATAGCATGCCTAACACGGTTAATTGATCTCGTGAACAGGAACTTTTATAACCATTACACTATATTATTGTTATACGAGAATTATTATGTTGGACAATGCACACTAAAATTGTGAATTTAAAAAATTGTGCTCATTCTATGAGTCTAGGATGACTTGATGTTTTAAAATTAATGACCTTCACAATTTTTGTCAGTAATTATTTGATAATTTGAATAAAAGAACGATAGTGCATTTAGTATAAGTAAAGTTTTACATGTATTATGTTTCTCCAATCCATATAGAATGATTTTGTATGACAAAAATAAATTTTAACGTTCTTTAAATTTGGATTATCGTTGTAAAACGTAAGAAGACTATTTTATGATAGATCTGGTGAGGTAATGAATACAACTACCGTATACAAGCAATAAATCGCCCGAACTAAATTACACATATTAACGACAAAACAGTGACGTATCGTAAATGTAGGTCGCACCGAAAAACATTTTCTGGGACTAAGACTCTTAAAAGAACCAAATATAGACGCCTTAAAATACCACTTTATAAATAGTTGAACTTGGGTGTTTTGCTGATCTCTGTAAACGCAATGTCGAGAATTTCTGTTCGTGACGACATGTAATGTCTCACTGCCAAAATACTAGGCCTCTGCTCTAGAAACATACGAACAATATGAGAGTGTACATATAATTTTATGTTAACAACAGAACTAATCGTCTCAACTGTTTTATATTTTCATAATGGCAGTGAAATATATTTTCGCCTGCATGAATATTGGTCGTTACGTTCCATTCATGCTCCAAGACGCAAGGTTTCTTAATCAGAAAAATATGCTGTCTGAAAATATTCGTTCTAGCATATGCTTCCGGTTCTTCAACACGGGGATTACGACTGAAAACTGTGAGACGTAGCATTTATTTATTTTGTCATAAACTTTTTTTGTATTTATGATTACTTTGCTCTGTAAACACTCACTGCTAACGTTTACAAAAAAGCTTTAATAAATTATCGTGTACGACAAAACACGTTACTAAAAATAAAACATATAAATATCAAACAAAAAAGAAGCCGACGAACAGCGTTCTAATCGCCTGCCGTACGTCACGTGCAAACTGTAACATAAAATTTTAAACCAGGAACAATTCGCGGTGAGATTTACAGCGTTACCGTCGTCATATTAATTATAAAATCTCTTCATAAAAGCGATTCCGGACTATCGGCTGCAGTACGCAGCACGCGCCCTTGGTGAACACACAATAAAATTTATTTTTGGACCGGTCCATTGCCAACCGCAACGCAACAGCCGCGGCGAAAGAAATACCGCCGCCTGCGGAACACCGCTGGGCTTGTGTCGTAAATTTTAATTTACTTTTTGGGAACGTGCATTTATGACGGTGGAAGACATTTACATCACAGCCAGCCCTTATCCCTTTAACGAAAATACACTGGAGTATTTCTTCATGTTACCTAACTGTGATACGGGCACATCTATTTTCCTTTCACTTATATATATACATCTTTGTGAATTCAAAATAAAATATGACGAACATACCGATGATGGATAACTCCATTTGAATTAAATGATTGACAAAGTAAATAAATTAAAACATTTATTAGGATTTTAGTAATATCGGCAATTTAACGAGCCATATGTTTGTTTTGATTTCAGTATTGGTTTTAATTTCTCTTTGTTTTGAAGCTTTTATCTTGTTAACTGCTTTTAATACAATTATATTTTCGCCTGACTATGACATGGTGAAGATACGAAAAAATAAGGAAACTATTATATATAATATGAAATTGTATAAAAAAATAAGTCTGCTATCATTTAATATTTCATCCTTGGCTCTTACATCGCGTTATGTAAATTGAAGTATGTGTTCGTTATATCAAGTAGTATGCAATTATATTTCAAGTGCATTATTCGTTTGATAATAATTGTTATTGACGTGCACTTACATAAATAATATTATAATTAATATCTATTCCTAACTCCCTTATCATTATGACTTAGGCATGTATAGTTGTAGTCGCGTTTTGTAATTGAAACATTTTGGAACCATGATTGCATTGTGAATGTATTTTTATGACGTGTGTTAAAAAAAAAATATCATAATTCTATCTTAAAATAAATTGAATATGTTTACCAGAATTATAAACTAGAATTAAAGTCAACCAAGTTCACTTGAAGCCACTTCGCGATAATTGAGTCAGAAGCGATTCACGTAGACGTCTTAAGGGCACTTCGTTAAAACTCTTTAGTTTACGCTTTTTAATCACGAGTTATAATATCCAAGCTTTCACCAATGTTGTGGTCAAAAGGCACTCTCAGCCTTTAAAAACCAATGTAATCTTTAATTTACGAGAATTATGAAAGCATACAATTTCTATTTGAATCATAAACGAGAGTCGTGGATAAATGTTGCAATTGACAAATGACTGCTTGTTAAAACATTTTTCCACACTTTTTCCAGTGAGATGTTTCAGTTATTTTTATGTTATTTGATTTTTCAGATGAAATATTTAAGGAGAGAAAACGGTTTTAAGTCAGAATATTACCAAGACGATCTTACATTTAAATCAGCGAAGCGTAAATCTTTTTGGTTATAAAAATAACCAGAAACTACTTTAAAAATTCTTTCGAGAAAGCGTGCAGTGGATTAGAATCGAGGAAAATAAATCGGTACTTCGATCTAGGACTCCAGGGACATCTATATTTATAACATTTCTTAAGCGACGTGAAATCCTTTGATGCTAAGTGAACCGTTAGAAATATAATTTTAATATTCTTTGTTACAAACAATTTTTATTAAAACTGTGTATTACTATTTCTATATATGTATGTATAAACATAAGCTCGATCCTCGAGGATCATTCATGACCATAAGGTTTAATTCTAAAACACGTCTGTGCTCTCCATATGGTATCAAGTGAAGTAACACATTCAGTAAAAATTTATTGCTACCAATCATCGACTGCGAACACAAAGTTTACAAGAGTAAATCATCTCTAATTACAACAGTTTGCAATGCTATTCATTTACACAAACATTCTTTGTAGTAAAGAAAGATTCTCCAGAAAAGTTATGTATCGGTTACTTCATAAAAAATAATCTACGAAATTCCAGCTTTGATGTGTTAATCTTTGACGTTTAACAAAAATGGTTTTGATTATATTGTAAAGAATTAAACAATTACATATTTTTAGAATTTTACACTTATAAAAATATGATTTTAGATACGAAGATTTTTTTTTATAAATGTGTGTGTAAAACTTATCTTCTATGGCTTTGTTGTATAATATTGGTATAATATTTACTGTTTATTCGATTCTCACTATAATCCCATTCTAAGTTATACATATATCGATCCATAAAAATTTAAATACCAGCAATAATAAGGTACATATATTAATAACATTTATATTTAAGTCTGCGATTTTAATTTTAGAAATACAAGCGACACAATTTCCTTTCAATAATTCCAAAGTGTTCATTTTACGTGGAATATCTTAGATATTATTTTGATACATTCTGTAAAAGGACAACAACAGGCTGTCATAGCTTAGACGTGGGCGAATGTTCAATATTGAACAAATCGGATTCTGTTCTATTTTAGTATTTTCTTTATAAGGTTATTTCAAGCAAGCCTCTTCAAGTAGGTATCTTTGATATCTTTAAAAGGTCCTTTAAAGTATTACAAAGAATACATTAATCTTACAAAGTTCTGCATTCGTATCGCTCTCTGCATTATGCTTTGAGTAATAATATGGTTTTTGCTAAAAACTATTTCACAAGCTAGGATAAACATTTGTTTTGAATAAAAATTTGCGAAGCAGACCAGTGAATACGCCAACCTTGACCTCATGTTAGGGTAACCAAAGAAGCCAATTTAGTATGACGGAGTGAGTTAAATATTTTTTTTACAAAGAGTTTTGTTTACCAAACTTTATATACATTTTTTTTACTTTTAAACATTGTTTCGTTTTGTGATTTTTCTATACAAATATTTTTTTACGAGTTCTTTAAAAAAATATGTCCAAAGTATACTTATTTTTATATTGTGGATGACAGATGTTTCTAGGAATAAGAAGTCTCTAAGAAAAACCCTGCAGTAATATTTTTTTCATCCAATACATGAAAATGTCATTCAGATAATTAAACTGCACACGATAAACTTATCGACCTTAAACTTCATTTGATGTAGCTCGCGTGTTCTTTTAGATGAATGTCTAATGATTCAATCGATTGATAATGCTAGAAGTTCATCAGTGAAATGACATGTTGGTATTTAATATGATTTTATATTAATCAAATTTATAAAGATTTTAATTTTAAAGATGATACTTATATGAAGTAAAAAATAATTCTACATAACAGAAAAGCTTTTAAGTAAAAGAATTTTAATTTTACTGATGATTGATGATTTATTTTGAAAATCATTAATAAAAATTAAATGTATAAGATTTACCATTTACCCACAAGTTTATATTAAATAAAAGGAAACAAAATCATAAAAAGCTAAAAACTATGTTTTAAAATAAAATACAAAAAAGTAATAAAATTTAGTAGACTCATCTATTCCCTTTAAATGTTTACATTTACTAATTATTTAGGTAATCCAGTAACATTTAGTAAGAAACTGTTGTATTAATTAATCATTTTCTAAATATTCATGTGAACTAAGGATTATTTTGTTCTCAGGTAAGCGGCCTCAAATTTGAAACACAATTACGGACACTCAACCAATTTCCAGAGACACTGTTAGGCGACCCTGCAAGGAGAATTAGATACTTCGATCCACTCAGGTAAAACTAAGTAATCTGTCATTAAGAAAACTATTTTCTTTGTTACTTTATTCCAGTAAAATGTTTGTATAGAATAATGGAAACTACCATTATCGTTAAACCATATTTACAGAGAAATAAACGTTAATTTCCATTTCTATACGCTCATTGTTTCAGGAACGAGTACTTTTTTGACAGAAACAGGCCGTCCTTTGACGCCATCCTGTATTATTACCAGAGCGGAGGCCGTCTGCGACGTCCCGTCAACGTCCCGCTGGACGTATTCTCAGAGGAAATTAAATTCTACGAACTTGGAGAGCAAGCTACCAACAAATTCCGGTCACGATTACTATTCTTTTATAGAAAATGTGAGAAATAATTATATACGCTTCCTTCGTATTTATTTAATTTCTTTTTCTACAGTGAGGATGAAGGATTCATAAAGGAGGAGGAGAAACCCCTACCCTCCAACGAACGTCAGCGCAAAATCTGGCTGCTCTTCGAATACCCTGAAAGCTCCCAGGCCGCCCGAGTCGTTGCCATCATCTCAGTCTTCGTCATCTTACTGTCAATCGTCATCTTCTGTCTGGAAACCCTCCCAGAATTCAAACACTACAAAGTTTTCAACACCACTACAAATGGAACAAAAATTGAAGAAGACGAAGTACCTGATATAACTGATCCATTTTTCCTCATCGAGACGCTCTGTATTATCTGGTTTACATTCGAATTAATAGTTCGATTTCTTGCTTGTCCAAATAAATTCAACTTCTTCAGAGACGTGATGAATATCATAGATATAATCGCAATTATACCATACTTCATCACACTTGCAACGGTAGTCGCTGAAGAAGAAGACACGCTGAACCTACCAAGAGCTCCTGTTTCGCCGCAAGACAAGTCCACCAATCAAGCTATGAGTCTTGCCATACTTCGTGTGATTCGTCTAGTTCGTGTATTCCGTATATTCAAACTATCGCGTCACTCCAAGGGCTTGCAGATTTTAGGAAGGACTCTAAAAGCATCAATGAGAGAACTCGGACTTTTGATATTTTTCCTCTTCATAGGTAAGTGGACACAAGTTTTATTTTTCTTTAAATATATCAAATGTGCATATAACAAACGTATTATAAATCCCAAAAATATATTAAAGCTACTTCGCATTGCTTATATATATAATTGTTTACACAAATCGTTAATAACGAACGTTACTGCCATAATTATAATCAAAACTCCAGAAATCATAAATATTTCATTACAAATTGGTTGTATGATAGAAAAATTACACCAATTTATTTAAAGTACTGATATAATATTATGTTATGCCACGTGATACCAGGCTTACACTTTTTGAGATCAAACTTCAAATTTGGCAGTTTTTATTGTCAAGGAAGAGGTAAAGAAAGGAACGGGTTGGCTGCGGGCACTCCTGCACCACATATTTTGTTTCCACAGGGGTGGTCGTGTTCTCAAGTGCTGTTTTCTTTGCCGATAAAGATTGTCCCGATTCCAACTTTTCCTCAATCCCTGATGCATTTTGGTGGGCCGTCATTACTATGACCACTGTCGGCTATGGAGACATGAGGTAAACCCGTCTCGTGCGTCTGCCCGTCTGCCAGTCCACCCGTTGCGCCCACTTGCAGTCCCTCCCTCACCTTCTACCTCCCACTGTATGCGCCGTTGTGTGTGCTTAAAGGTGTGGTGCTGTTTTCATCTGCGGTGTACTTCGCGGAAGCCGGAAGTGAGAACAGCTTCTTCAAATCCATACCTGATGCGTTTTGGTGGGCGGTCGTGACAATGACGACCGTAGGATACGGCGACATGACGTATGATACAGCACCTTCTCCCTAAATATCATCTACGCCTTCTCATTTTTTACTACAATTTTACTTCGGCATTTTAACACGGTTGTGATTTTCTTTCGCCACATCAACGTCATACGCTTAAATTTGATTTTATGAACAGTTTACATAGAACCTAACTGTTTACATTTCATACTTTTCACTACATTATACAAACCAGTGCACGTTGAAAACGAACGTTCGTAGGCATTTCTGTTCACAACCTATAGAGAATAATCTTCCTGAACTCAACAATTTTACATGGAAGCATAACTGTAAATCTAAAACCACGTAATTTCCTTCTTAAAAAAGGAGTAGAACATTAATTTTCTAGAACAAACGTCGTCGGTGTGACAATCGCCCTGTCCAAATCGTAATCAAGTTTCAGCTTAATGGTAACACCCTTCAACTTTGATTAAGAGTTTTAAAAGTTATTGTTTTTCGAAAATACGAAGAATACTCTTTTACATGAAGTTGAAGTGGTTCTGTCAATGTCTATACTCTCTCCTTTTTAAATGTTCTCCTTTGCAACGCTTTGCTGAATTATTATCAATGTTAAACTGTCAAATGTTATCGCTGTTGTATTTGTGACATATAGATTTCAGTAAAGAAAATAGTTTAACACAATATGTATTCACGTTGAAATAGCACGGAATATACTTCACTGAAGTTATGTACTTTTAAATTAGTTTGCTTTCAAATCACCCATGTTCATATTATAAAACGTCGTGTCCTTTTCACTCATATATTTATTCAATTTTCGAAAAGCAATAAATTACAGATGTGATACTATGTAAAATTGATGTTCAGACATTATCATTGCTTTTTTTGTCCATGCCTTTTGATGTTTAGTGTTTACATCATTCTAAAGTAATTTGGTTTTTACATACTCGTAATTCCTTAGTCGTAATGTTCTGCATGTCTCTATTCATTCATGTCGTAATTAGTGTGTAGTTTTATTTATAATTTCAATAAAATGTATAATTTATTTATGTCCAAACATTGATCAAGACCCGGTGTATTGAATGTATTAATAGGCTCTGTTTTGAATACGCAAGCGAATTGTCATCTGTTAATACGTTTGAAACTGGAGTTTTGGTTATTTTGGACATAGTGCTGGTGCGATACTGCTGTGCGTAATGAAAAACAACGATTATACAATTTGCTGGCGTGTATGAAAGTTGAAGTATGAAATTGTATTGCAAATGCAATCGTACATACTTGATGAATATTTTTTATTTATATGAATAAAGTAGGTGGTTATTATTTTCATCTTTTTTATCATTGTTTCATTAGTTTTACATGTCGCATGAGGTCTATTTTGAGTGTTTTTCACCAGCACATTCTAAACCTGTGAATTTATGATGGTTTTGACTAACGTTGGTTTAAACACTAGGCCTGTTGGCGTGTGGGGTAAGATCGTGGGATCGCTTTGCGCGATTGCTGGTGTACTTACCATCGCCCTGCCGGTACCCGTCATCGTGTCTAACTTCAACTATTTCTACCACCGTGAAACTGACCAGGAGGAAATGCAGTCTCAGAACTTCAACCACGTCACCAGTTGCCCCTACCTGCCCGGGACTTTGGGCGAACCCTACTTGAGTAAGTTATAACGATAAGGTTGAAATGTTTTTTTTAACGTCTACCACATTATTATTTTTATCACATTTCTTTTTTTGTGGAAGCAAACGTTGCATGCCTCTGGAACTGCTTGTTATGCTTTTTATGTTTTATTTTACTTTTATGTTTATTTTCCGTACTTTCAGGTGGGAAGGACGATGACAGAGAAGAGATCGGCAGTGACCTTTGACTAAATGTTATTATAGTGTTGTGCGTTTGTTTGTTTAGTATGGATTAGTTTTATCGATATAGACGATATTTGTGATATTATTGTAAGGCAAAAGTGAAGTGTTTATGTAAATAGTAGCTTAAGTAATGTGAAAATGTCATATTGAATATTTTTGTTCATTTTCTTTATGTTTGCGATGTTATTTTATTAGAAGATAATAGAATTTTGATCGCATTCTTTAAATATCTCTTTTTTTACAATAATGCAATGAAAGATCGCTTTATGCACGTTACGTATGTAGATGATTTGATTTCGTATTTATTTCAAAGTAGAGAAGTTGTATGAAGTTATTTAGTTTTGTTAACTTCATTATGTAGATCAACTCAAACTCAAAGGCAAGTAGTGGTGACTTGCAACAGCAACGAACAGTGGTTCATTAAAAGTCTTTAACACAACTTATTGTACTCGGATCGACTTTAGCGTCTTTGTTCTGCTAAAACTTGATATCATCAAAACTTAAACGATAGATCGAACGAAGTTTCTCTTGCCCGGAGAACAATTCTAAGTTTTATTACATTTTATCGATGCTAAGAAATGTAGGTGAGAGTACATGGGCTCAGAGTGTGTTTATCTCCAACTATTGTTAAATACGATAACAAGAATACAATAGTATATATATTGGGGTTGGATGAGAAGCATATTCGACAAATCAATTTGTTACAAAATATGACGAGCTTATTATCACGCGTCTTTAGAATGTTACTATTAAATAAGTGTTATAGTTTGAATCATCATTCATTAAATACTAATATAATTCTATGGTTGAATTAATATATAAATTGTTTACATTTTTTTTAATGTAATAACATTCCATTACAAATAAACAATAGAAAAAAACAACCTTTTTTTCTATTCAATTCTAGGTATCAAAGTTGCAATTCCAACAAAGAACCTTTTCAGAACCAATCAGATAACTGAAAATCAGAGAATATTATAACTGCAAGATAAATTCTATATTTAATACCCATCTGACATATTTTGTTTTATATTTATTTGAAAATGAACTGCTTTACAATACACAAAGTAAGTTACAATACCTTTGTTTGCTTTTTACGTTTGTTTTATTGTTTTTATTTATTTTTAATTTAAGTAGATGATTTTCTTAATAGCGATGTTTCCAATTGCCATTCATACTAATTTACTTTCAAAGATATATCTTCTGGTTGAAAAAATATTTCTAATATTATAAAAGCCTTAAAGAAAAGATCTTTTTTAATCCCTTGGATTATTTTTTAATTCTCTTATTGATTATTTTATAATCAGATTGAAACAAGATTAATACTTTCAATATCTCTCGAAAGTCAGCAAATTTAAATTTTATTCTTATTATAATATTAGTTTATTTATAATTAATTTAATGCTTTTATTTAATAATCTTTCTTCCATTTCTTAGATAGCTAATGATATTAAACGATCCAATTGCATTAAGCCTTTGTTATTGAACTCAAGCTTGGAATTAACAACAACATTATCTTGTACCGTCCGCACAATAGTTGTATAGTTTAGGTATGTTAACAGATCAGTATCCCATTGTCTCAATTAATAGGTAAATGATATGTTATGTACATAATGTACGGTAATGTTCTCAACCAATTAGCTTCATTAACATTAACACCTTGGTAACAGCTTATTATATAATTCATGATCAATTTAATATTGAATAAAAGAGAAACAATATGTAGTAGTTGTCATTGAAATTAAATTTATTTCTTCTATTAAGATGAATTAAAATTATTTTAAATTTATTTCATGTTCGAATTAACAATTTTAATAATTTTAATGTTATTCGACATAATTCTTTCAAGTGGGTAGGTCAACACGTAAACGCCCTAGTAACTACAACCCGATAGAAACTTTGTATTCATTGACAATGAAATAGCTCGGATAGATTTTTGAAGCTTTTCTCTTACTACATTTGCTAATTGTATATTTTAAAAAAGTGTAGTGTGCTAGCTACTAACAATAACGGGTTAGCTTGACAATAGCTTCAAGCACTTCAACGTGGTATAAATTGTTAGATTTGTTAAAACAGTTTCAGGTGCGATCAAAAACTCCTCTGTGAGTGATGACTCATCTTCGGAACTGATGGAGCTTGAAGATGCAGCTTTGCTGGCTGACCCTCATCTTGAGAATAACATTCGTCGTCTGCGCGAAGAAGAGCGTCTTCTGCTGGAACAACAAGCCGCCATGGAGGCTTCAGGCAACACCGACGACATAGCAGCTCTGGAACATCAAGATCTGCTACGTCTTAACCACGTAAGTGAATCGCATGGAACTTTAAATAATCTATTTTATTTAGGCTAACATTTACACCAAGAAAACATATTATATAGCAGAAAAATTATGTTTTGATTCTTCAAAAACCAGCTTAAACAGCAAGAGCTGCAGAGGCAGCTGGTAATCCTCGCTCAACGTCAGGCTCGTGCCAATGCCAATGCCAACGCTAGCTCCAGCCTGTTGGCGATCGAGGGTCCCAGGGATCGTTCCGCTGAAGACTCCGACCGTAGTGAACGCCGACGCGCCAGTCGCAGTGACCTGAACGAGCGTTGTGACCGCCTGGAGCGTTCTGATCGAGGGGAACTCCGCAGACGTACATGCAACGTGCGTGTAAATGCTCTCCACGTCGCGTCATGTGCGGAGGCGTTAGAAACGGACGTCTGACCAATGGGTAGGTCTTAGATATGTACACTTAGTCTTTATAACGGTAGTTCTACATATATTTGTTAATGTTATCATAACTTTGATACGTTCAATTTGACTATATCAGATATGCCATTTACATGACGATTTCTTTGTTCACACTATTTTCTTGTATATCGTAACAAGTTAAATATAAAATTATCGCATTCATTTGAAATTAACACATGCATTACAAATATATATAATGGATCAAATTAAAATATATGTATTTTATAGTTTTATGTCCATATTTAATATGTATAAAATGACTTATTTTATAACAGAAATGTGGTAACTTAAGATCAAACTCATTCCATAACCTCAGGCTATTTGTACGGATAGATAACAAAATCTTATAATAAGAAAAGATTATAAAATTTCATTCATATTATTTTTAATGACGTCTTCATTCGAGACAAGCATTAACAAAACAATACCATGTAGGATGTAAAGAAAATGTTTAAAAAAAACTAAATCTTTGAGGAATATAAATTTGTTTGGGGTAATTTACTCTAAATAATAAGAATATCGGATTTATTGTTTCTATGAAACGATGGAAAAACGTACTTGTGAATCGAGCCCCAACAAAAGTGATTCATGCATTTGTATACCTATGTAATATAATTAACACGTCATGAATGGCAGAAATATCGATCCGGGCTCGTGACGTCATACTTTCGCTAAGTTCGCCTGACCCCAAAACATTCTCGTGTCTGCCCTCGAACTAGATCGCTGAAAATTTTAACATATAATAACCTCTATCTATCCAAACACTATGTGCTATTCGAATAATTATTTATAATGTATGTATGTTAATTTTAATAAATTTGTTATATAATGTTTCAAATACTGAAGTTTAATAGATGTTATTTACTGGGCTTAAAAGTTCCTTTATCTTTGTTTAGCAGTGTGGCGTCGGCGGATTATAAAACGCTGCAATGCGCCTATTATGTCACTTGTACATACACAAGAAAGAAACCGATAATATTATCTTGATAATTTAGAATTATATATTATTATTTATTTACATTCATTGTATATAAAGCTTTCCATTTCATTTAGATAACATAAATGTAGTGTATTGAATACATTTGATATTTTACATTCCAGATTTGATTATATAATTTGTAAATCGATTTCAAGACAGAGAAAGAAATTTTTGATTTTATTTTATAATTACAATATTATAGCTGTCACAGACTTAATCTAATTATTTATTCTGTTTTTACCAAGCAATTAATAATTGAGCGTCTATCAAACATTACAAATTCAGTGCCTAATTAAGTTGTATACTTGACATTAATCCATTTTTCATTTCTTCAGTCACCTTTGTAGAAATACATCAAACACCGGGATAGAATTGAATTGTAAGTTAGAAATTACAAAACGTACTAGCATGAGTTACTTAGGCAAGCGTTCTTATAAAAAGTCGTTTGTTTTTAACGACTTTTTAACAGAATGTGGGTCTTACAATTAGACTAGGATCCCGCTAGCCGTTTTTGTACGTGATTGTATGTACTGTTTTGTGTTTTCAGGCATGCGGTGATACCACCTCGTTCATACCGATCCCCTGGCTTTAGTTTGTTTTATCAAAATTTTGTATTCAATGACGTACACCGTGAAAAAGTCTATATACTAAATTTGATAACTATTGAATTGTTTCATTATTTAAAATAAAATAAACGATTTAATATAAGTGATAAGTGTATATAATAGACATTTTCACGCCATTACAATTTCTAAACCCCCGACGGAATATCATGTGAGTATTCAGACACCAGCCCATACATTATCGACTCATACATTAGGTACGTGTCATTCATTTGTGTCATAAGTCATAACGTCGGGGGTTAATGAATAACCGTCAAATATATTCCCTAATAATTTTTGTTTGTTTGTATTTAATTAAATGTTTATTATAATGTAACCAAATGTATTCCCCAAAATCTTCGCACACAAGTTAATTAACTTCTCCGTACCTACACCTTGAATATTATTATATTAATTTTAAGTGATTCGTTTTTGTTTAAAACTTGTGTAATTCTTCTCGGAGGAAAGATATTCTTACTTTATTATCTGTATACAAATGTAGTTTATATGGTTATATCGTATCCTTATTTATTAGGGTGTCAAAATTCGCATGAATTCTCGATTATCCTTGGAGTATCGTCAGTTTACACCAAAGACAATCATTAAAAAGCATTTTATTCGTCTAATATAATATTCCATACACTAAGTTCATACAAAACAAGTGTAAACTAGCTGCTCTCGGATCGAGAATAATAAAACAATTGGCATAATTATGTATTACTGTATGGTTAACTGATGTGCAGTTCTGTCAACATGACAGCATGGCTTTGTGACGATCCCTTTCCATAGCGAATGTTGTGTTCTCTGTTCTGTTTTTAGTTGTAAAATATATATTCCCTACACTGACAATATACCAATTTTAACAAACTCTTTGTTTGAAGGAACTGGTAAATATGAAATAAAATTCATTCCAACTAATCCATTTCAGATTCATTGTCTTTCATTTGAAAACTTATCAAATTTTTAAACCTTTTGTCCTATTGAATCTAATGCCTAAAAAGCAATCACATATAAATTTGTAAAAAAACTAAAAGAAATTAAATTTCTGAAAAATCTTTAAGCGTTTTTTGGTAAGCTTTTGGCGACACAAATTTTACCAGTAAATTTTAATACCTAGTAACTGAAATGGGCCATTGAAGTAAATTTTACTTAATATTAAAATTACAACATCTCTTGATATATACATAGGCCAAGACAGTAGGCACACTGACATTAAATAAACATGATTATACTATAAAGTTATTTTATAATATAAACTATAACATTTCAGGGACGGCGAGGCGTGAGGATAGCGCGCAGTTAGTATGGCGCGGTCGTTTGCCTGCACGCTCGCCGCCGGCATGTCACGTGTGAGCCGAAAACACGACTCCGCGTTCCCGGTGTTGATAGTATTATGGACTATTAATAGTTGCTTCATTACGTGCAAACTTACTGTTACAGCAAATTAGATATCCAGTTTTTAAAGAACCTCTTTATGAAATCTTTGAATACGCTTATAAATTCTACATGAAAACGCATAGACGCTACTGTAAATAAACCGAAACGGCTTTTATCCAAGCTTCATACACTTTAAAGATGATTCAACACACATGTATTATAAATAAATGCAATTGAGATAAATATTTCAACTGAATACGTAAACCAAAACTGGACATGGAACAAATAAAACTCAGATAAAGGGTAATTACTTGTAGACTTTTCAAGATAAAGGTGCGATAACAAATAAAATATGATATTTGGTCAAAATTATAATGATAATGCACCAAACTGATCGTGACATATATTATCTACATATTTTTAGATGATTGGACATAAAATTCTAATTCCGGCTGTAACTACTGTGAATGAAATACTTCGGTGTAATGTGTTCAATCTACAGATAGATACGATTTTATCCAAGCATAAAACCGGCAACAAAAAAGACTCTCGCAAAAACACCACTCAACCGCCGTTTTATGAAAACCATACTTAAGGATATTTCAATTGTGCTCTTTAAGCTTGGATTCCATCGTTTATAACTGGATAACCGTTTTACGACCTCAATCAAAGTGTATTACGTAAAAGGAATGGCAATGAAATCCGATGTATGTGATTTCGACGATAATTTTAACGAGGTTGTGATTAAGATATATCAACCTCGTGCAGTAAATGTAGATGTAAGTTTATGTTATATGTTGTGAAATATCCATTTGTATAATTAAGCAATATGACACGACCGCGATCCCGAACCTTCCTAGTCTTGTGACAGCCTCGGCTACACTCAGCTAACATGGTTAGTAATATATACTCAATTCATTTACATGAACCTGTATCATTCGTGGTTTTTAATGTATATTTAAAGGGCTTTATTCAATAAGTGTACTATACGGAAGGTTGTGAAGAATTGGAAGTGAGCGACGGTGTTTTGTTTAATATCTTGTTAAGACCGTAATCAACATTTACAATCAGACGTTGATTAGTTACGGCAGCTCCCATTTTGGAAGCTTCCAGTTCAATACTGCTGTTGAAACAGTCGCTGAGTGTTGACTGAAAATGGGACAGTTATATTGAATAGCTTTTAATATTACAAACATATCCAACAAGACGTGATTTTATTACTAAATGTGTTTATTGTTGAACTATTTCTTAAGATTATTTCAATCTTCTTTATTAGACCCACGAGATTCTTGTCTTCTTGTCAATTATTCTATGTCTCTCAGTGGGTTTATGAAAGTTGAAGCTCAAATTCCGTATGCTGGCCTCTGGTCGATTGCACGGTTTCCCAACTGAGGGCATACTATATAACCTTTTGTCCAGTATTTTTCAAAAACCACCTCTTTAGATTCACTATGAATCCCTTTCATCCGTTTACAAATCCTCTTGAAATGATTAATTTATAAAAAGTAGGGCCGCTTATTCTGTACCCGAAATTATAGTTAGTTGTAAATTCGATAAAATTATCGTAGTTAACATTGACATAATTTGTATCATATCATTAATACACATTTCATAGCGTTTAAACATAATTATTGATAAAAGACATGATATTTACTCATTAGATTAGTTTAGTTTTAGCGGATACGTAGATAAGTACAGTCGTAGAGGTTCATCGTTTTATTCTATTTATTCCGTTACAATAACTAACAAAGTAACTGTAATCGTGAACAATAGGTAAAAGGTAATCAAGCACACAAAACTTCACACACCGAAATCTCCATAGACGCAGAAATAAATAATTGTTCTCGACAAGTCTGTTATGACATACGAAGATACAATCTAGTAATTTTGAGAAAGTATTTCATAGATTAAAACAACAGAACGCTGCCACTACACAGATTAAATGAAATCCAGATAAACAAACGCAAAATTTATGTTTATATCGATGTTAGGAAATAAGCAATTTACCCACTGTA